CTGACCAAAACGTGGCGGTCCAGCGCCACAGGGGATGAGAAGTTTGCTGACCGGCTGCTGAAGGACTTCACCGACTTCTGCTGGAACAAGGACAACCGGCTGGTTTCCTTCTGGACAGGCTGTCTGGAGAAGATGCACGCCAGCGCCCCTTGAAGAATCCCCACAAGCCACAGAAGTCAAATGTAGCTGCAGTTAGCTGTCCTGGAAGAGTGGGTGCAAAGAGCATCTTGAGAAATCCTGGGCAGGCTCCTGGGAGCAAGGTCTCAGGATGCCACAAATGGGCGCTTTTCACGGGTGCGAATGGATAAGTCTTACTATGGGAAAATGACTTCCTGCCCGAATGGAGGACAGCCTGATGGACATCAGACAGCAGTGGAAGAAGAGCAGAAGCTTTTTCAGAAAAACGAGCAAAAACTTTTTCATCTTCTGAAAATGCTCATTGGGAGTTTTTTGTGCATATGTAAAGTGTTGTACAATATTTATGGAATAAAAACACACTGTTCTCCTCCCATTGCCGGAGTGGTGTATTCATTGGCTCTCGCTGCTTGCATGTGGTTGCTGGCAGGCAGCAAAACAGAGCGGCAGATGGTTGGATGCAGTGACTAGATGATACAGTAGAAGCAGGAAAAGCACATTAAAGGGGAGTGGAAATAGCACCTCTTTAGGAACCTGGGTTTTACTGTTGCCTGGCGTGCAAACTCCTCACTTATCTATCTGACGTCATTCATTGGCTAAAAACTGACTCAGGAGCAGCCAGGTTTGTTCATTTCACAGAAATTGCTTAGATGATTACCTACATTTTTTGCTTCATAACTGTTTATCTAGCAGAGCTAGAGACTCTTTTCTTTTTTAAAAATGAGGGCTGGCCAACCCCATTCCAGAGGGGAGGCGAGGACCAGTGGAGAGAAATCAAAGCATTGGGCCTGGGCTAAAAATAATACAGTGGTAAAGGTAAAGGGACCCCTGACCATTAGGTCCAGTCGTGACCGACTCTGGGGTTGCGGCGCTCATCTCGTTTTATTGGCCAAGGGAGCCGGCGTACAGCTTCCAGGTGATGTGGCCAGCATGACAAAGCTGCTTCTGGCGAACCAGGGCAGTGCACGGAAACATCGTTTACCTTCCCGCCGGAGCGGTACCTATTTATCTACTTGCACTTTGACGTGCTTTTGAACTGCTAGGTTGGCAGGAGCAGGGACCGAGCAACGGGAGCTCACCCCGTCACCGGGATTCGAACCGCCGGCCTTCTGATCGGCAAGTCCTAGGCTCTGTGGTTTAACCCACAGTGCCACCCGCGTCCCTTACAATACAGTGGTACCTCGGGTTAAGTACTTAATTCGTTCTGGAGGTCTGTTCTTAACCTGAAACTGTTCTTAACCTGAAGCACCACTTTAGCTAATGGGGCCTCCTGCCGCCGCCGCACCGCTGGAGCACAATTTCTGTTCTCATCCTGAAGCAAAGTTCTTAACCTGAAGCACTATTTCTGGGTTAGCAGAGTCTGTAACCTGAAGCGTATGTAACCTGAAGCGTATGTAACCCGAGGTACCACTATAATAGAAAATATCTAAGGATAAGAGCTACAGTGGTACCCCGCAAGACGAATGCCTCGCAAGACGGAAAACCCGCAAGACGAAAGGGTTTTCTGTTTTGGAGGCGCTTCGCAAGACGAATTTCCCTATGGGCTTGCTTCGCAAGACGAAAGCCCATAGGGAAATCTCCGGGGACCTGTTTTAAATTGCTGGCGGTCGGGAGCAAAGACTTTCGCCCACAGCCGGCCTTCAGAAGAGGTCCTGGACCTCTTCTGAAGGCCGGCGGGGGGCAAAAGTCTTTGCTCCCCCCCGCCTGCCTTCCCGGGACAGCGGAGACTTCTCCGCTGCCCCGGGCGATCTTAAAATGCTGGCGGGCGGGAGCGAACGCTTCGCTCCCGACCCCCAGCATTTTAAGATCTTTGGGCGAGTGTCTGCAAGCCTCGCGCACCCGGCAGGAGGTCCCGCCGGGTGCGCGAGGCTTGGGGCGGCAGCCTGTCACCCGAAGCACGGGGAGCCCTTCGGAGAGCTCCCCTTGCTTTGGGCGAGTGTCTGCAAGCCTCGCGCGCCCGGCAGGAGGTCCCGCCGGGTGCGCGAGGCTTGGGGCGGCAGCCTGTCACCCGAAGCACGGGGAGCCCTCCGGAGGGCTTCCCCTGCTTCGGGCGAGTGTCAGCAAGCCTCGCGCACCCGGCAGGAGGTCCCACCGGGTGCGCGAGGCTTGGGGCGGCAGCCTGTCGCCCGAAGCACGGGGAGCCCTCCGGAGGGCTTCCCCTGCTTCGGGCGAGTGTCAGCAAGCCTCGCGCACCCGGCAGGAGGTCCCACCGGCTGCGCGAGGCTTGGGGCGGCAGCCTGTCACCCGAAGCACGGGGAGCCCTCCGGAGGGCTTCCCCTGCTTCGGGCGAGTGTCAGCAAGCCTCGCGCACCCGGCAGGAGGTCCCACCGGGTGCGCGAGGCTTGGGGCGGCAGCCTGTCACCCGAAGCACGGGGAGCCCTCCGGAGGGCTTCCCCTGCTTCGGGCGAGTGTCAGCAAGCCTCGCGCGCCCGGCAGGAGGTCCCGCCGGGTGCGCGAGGCTTGGGGCGGCAGCCTGTCGCCCGAAGCACGGGGAGCCCTCCGGAGGGCTTCCCCTGCTTCGGGCGAGTGTCAGCAAGCTTCGCGCGCCCGGCAGGAGGTCCCCGGAGCTTGCGGGGCGGGAGGTGGGAAGAAGGGCTTTTTTTCCCACCGCCAGCCTTCAGAACAGCCTTCTGAAGGCTGGCAGTGGGAAAAAAGCCCTTGTCCCCCCCCCAGCCTTCAGAAGTGGTCGGGGGACAGACTGTCCCCGGACCTGGTCTGAAGCTGGTTTCCCTAGGAACGCATTAATTGATTTTCAATGCATTCCTATGGGAAACCGTGCATCGCAAGACGAAAAACTCGCAAGAAGAAAAAACTTGCGGAACGAATTAATTTCGTCTTGCGAGGCACCACTGTATTTGACAATGGAGAAGCCTGTCTCAGAAGGTGATGGATGGGTTATTCCTTAGCTGGTGGAGGCATTTAAGTAGAGGCTGGTTGGCCGTTTGTCATTGTTGCTATGGCCGGATCCTGCATTATAAGACCCTACACTGAGCAAAAAATTGGATTGGGGACCTCTCCAACATGATTCCATGAAGCTAGATAAGCAAAACTGGAGGAGAGAGAGCTCATCTCATCTTTCTGCATCAGTGCATGTCCAAAAATTGAGTAGATCCATTTCCTCACATTCCCAAAACTACCTGGGACTGTCAGCAATTATGCATGAGTGATGATGGAGCTGCATTCTCACATCACTGAGCCCAATCCTGGCCTGACTTGCGTTACTCAGCGCTTTCCTTCAAAGTGGGTGGTGTTGCCATGCTGGGATGTGTGGCTGGCTTCCAAGAAGCTTCTGCTCGGAAAGGTGTGTGCAGAGAGACTGAATTTCTCTTTCTCTTATTTATTGCTTTTAATAAATCCCTTTTGCAGGGTGGGGAGTCGGTTCACTTTCTAATGAGGTTGAAGGTTTGGAGGGCAGAGCCTTTCTGCAGGTTCCCTCTCCACAAAGTCTTTTTAAAACCACAAAAAGTGCTCCAGCCCCGCTGAAGCTTTCAAAATGCAACCTGGCTACTCACAGAGATGTGGTTTGCTCTCCAGTTGATGATGATGTGATAGGAATTTTATGGTCTTAGATATATGGCAATGTCCATAACTGCACGTACATAGATCAGCACAGGAAGGCCAACCTGGAACCATTTTGATTCCTAAACCGAGCAAATGTTTTCTCTGCAAGGTCAAACTGGAAAAGCCTCCCCATTGTCTTGTCCTTCACAAATCCTAACTTAAGGGTATGTCTCTGTTTGAATAGGGTGTGAGCCTGTGACATGGCCAGGAACTAAGTATTTATCACTACAAAAGAATGGCCAGGCTACCAAGGAAATCCAATCAAGTATCCTGCCAGACAGGAGATAAACAACAAGAGAAAAACAACATTCAGATGTATCTGAGGGGTGGTCTTAGGTTACACCCCTTCTGTGATGTATGCATAATGTTTCTGGGGGTGGTCTTGATCTACAGGGTGGCAATTTCAAAAGTCTTTATAAGGCTTTGCACACCATTTTTCTGGGTCCTCCTCTCCTGCGTCTGAGGGGAGCACCCTGTTGCAACAGATCAATAAAGATCAAGCTTACTAGCTGCTTTGCATCTCAATATTCTCTGGTTGGCCTCTGTTATTTTCTCCTACCAATAGGGAACCTATGTAAGGACTCTATATGGGCTCTTGGATACCCCATAAGGGAAAAGGGTCATTTTTTTGTTTACAACAATGATTACATTTATAGGACACCTATTTCTCCAAGCAGCTCAGGCTGGTAGACATGGTTCTCCAACTTCCCATTTTATCTTCACAACAACCCTGGGAGGTAAGCTAGGCTAAGAGTGAGTGTCTGGCCCAAGATCAAACACTGAGCTACACGGCTGAGTGGGGATTCGAACCCTTGTCTCCCAGTTCACAGGCCACCAACTAGCTCCGTCTAGTTGACATCTGCTTTATATACCATTTGCAGAAAACCACAAAGTGGTGCCATGCACACACAGGAAACACTGGGCTGCATGGAATGTGTTGGCAATGGGGCTCCCCACTCACTTATTATATATATTATTATATATTGCTCTCATGCATTTATGAGCTTTTTGCAGGGGGTGGGAGTCAGATAAATAACTTCATTGTTGTGGCTTAAGTGGGGCAGTCCACTGATCATGGGGATACACAGTATTGGGAATCCCCATTTATTTGGGGGCTCAAGGAGTATATACGCAGCTGCAGTAGGAGGAGAGGAAAGAGCAAGAATAATAGCTGTGAGTGGAGAAGGCCTTTTTCCCAACCCTTTGAAACACCTGGGAAACTCCACAAACTGGGTGCAACTGAATGGGACACAGCTGTGGGCCGCCTGAGGAAAAAAACCATCCACCTGGGCGGGGTGGGGGGTGGGCTGCCTATAAAATGGTGAGTCTTGCATGAGAGTCACTAGATGTTGGCTTTTTCCAGGCACAGCAACTCTCGTGGAGCTTCTGTAGGTGAGTTGAGAGTTTTCTGGACCCTGTGTGAGATCCCAGAGGCTGAGTGGGTGGGGTGTATCAGAAGGAAAATGGATATTGTCTCATATGCATTAGTAACTTTGTACTGCGTCTGAAGAAGTGGGCATGCACACGAAAGCTTATACCCAGAACAAACTTAGGTGCTACTGGATAATTTTCTAATTTATTTATTCCGACTGCGTCAGACCAACACGGCTACCTACCTGAATTTGTACTGCGTGTAACTGTATTTTTGCAATGTTTTTGTTTAAGCCGTCTGTTGTCGCTTCGTCATTATTTTTTGTACACCGCTTAGAGATATTTTTTAAAGATATTACAGAAACGAAAAAATCAATCGGCATAGATTTCTGGAGCTGAGACCTTTGTAGCAAATATCGAACTGGGAACAAATCAGCACCTTTAGGACCTTCTGCTGCCCCCTAAGCTGTACCCCTAGGAGAACCCCCCACCTCAAAGCCCCCGCCCCTGGCTTTGCCACGTGCGCTCTGACCCCCTCCTTTGCAATTGCAAACGGGCTGGGCAACCCCGCCCACGGATCGAATCCTGCCTTGGGGCGGGGCTGATCCTGCATCTTTCTCGGCGTGTGCGGGGGAGTGAGGCCGGTGCGCCCCAAGGCCTTCCTGTTGGGGGGGGGGGCGGGAGGCTGCTACTAATAAGAGAAACGGGTGCCGCTGGTGAGTTGCCCAGGAACGGGTCGAGTTACTTGTTTCCTGAATTTACACCCCACCTTTTACCTCTAAGGGGCCCGGAGTGGCACACCTGAGTCTCTCAGTCCTCGGTTCATCATCATCACCACAAGAGTAAACTTTCCGAGAGGTCATGATTGAGGTGTGATTTTAAATGAAAACCTCATTTCCCCCCCAATTCGGAGCCTGCAATTTGCAGAGAGGAGCTGGCTAGAGACCCCAGACTCTAGTCTAGAAAATCCTTTTAGCCACGGTAATGGTCAGTAACTTTTCCTCCAGGGAGTTGTCTAATTTCTCACACCTGAGAAAGTTTTGTCTCTCCGCTCTCTAATTTCCTGATTGTGCTTGTATAAAACAAACCTTCTTGGTGCTGTTCCTTCCTACCAAATAATTTGTCAGAAGCTGAGATTTGAACCCAAGGCCAGAATTCTATTACTCGCTGGTGCCTGTGCTTTTGTTCCTGTCTGCCCTTCCTAGTATCGATATAAAATAAAAAGGGACCCAAACAAACCACATTTTAAAAACAGTAGTTTCACGGGCCACGCTTTGTTCAAATAATTCTGTTGGCAACTTCCGTCTTCAGAGCCACAGTCTAATTTACTAGATAGTCCATTTTAGTTAAAATGGTTAGAAAAAACCTAGAAGTTCAAGCATGGTGTGAAGAAAGCAAATAGAAATAAGCTTTTCTCCCAGTGCAGGAACTTAGAATCATCTCTTATCTTTTGCACACATACCCAGAGAGAGAATGAGAACCAGTTATGGCACTAGGGCCTGGGAGACATGGGTTCAGATCCCCATGAAACTCACTGCTTAACCTTGGGGCAGTCATTCTCAGCCTGACGTACCTACCTCACAGGGTTGTTGCAGAGATTAATGGTTCCTTGTTCCCCACAGAAGAGGCCACACGTGGACCAAAAAGGTGAAGTGGTTCACAGCCCTGCTGAAGAGGAGCCATGAAGCAGGAAAGCTTTTCAAGCTCTCCAGCAACCCCCTTGGGACCTCGCAAGACTGGCAGGTACTTGGGGGGAGGTGTCCCTCCTCACAGCATCTACATCCCTGCGATAATCGGCTTTTAATGTTTAATAGGTTATTGTATTTTAGTGTTCTGTTGGAAGCCGCCCAGAGTGGTAAATAAATAAATTATTATTATTATTATTATTATTATTATTATTATTATTATTATTATTATTATTTTATTATTATTTATTTTATTATTATTTATTATTATTAATCGTGCCAACTTCTGGAGGCAGGAATAAGACTCAATTCTTTTTTTGCAGGTAATACAACTGGGGAACTGGAAATTGCCTAGCCTAGGCCAAAGAGAGGGTGCACTCCTAAGCTTCTGAGAATGTTTTGTTTTATTTTTCTACTTTGTAAGATTTATATACCACTTAATGATTTTTTAAAAACTGGTTTACAAAGAGAATAAGACACTAAAATTATCAGTAAAAGCAACTCTTTAAAAGGGAAAATCCAAACAGTTAAAAAAACCTGTTGACTAGTCACCCAATTATAGAATTATAGAGTTGGAAGGGACTCCCAAAGATCCTCTAGTCCAACCCATTACAATGAACCACAGCTAATATTTCTCCCTCCCCTCCTCAGCTCTTCTATCCCTGTGCTTGGCCATCCTCGATGCTGCCCCTGTCCTGCTCAGAGAATAGCCCTGCCTTGGCACAACAGCAGGTAAGAACTAGTTGTTTCTTCTTATTTGCATTGATAATAACATCCAGGCACACGAGAGTCCACTGTTGCCTCCCAGCCAGGCAAAAGCACTCAAGGGGGTGAAGCAAGGCTGGGATTGAACTTGGGATCTTGCACCTGGGTCTGGCTGGCAGTTTGTGGGGTCCTAGCAAAAAAAAATCAACCACCCCAAAGTTGATCCAACAAGCCTGAATCCTGCCCCGCCCTGCTGGACTGGCGCAACTCATTTTCTGCAGTGTGTTGGGTGGGAGGAAGGAGGCTTGCGCCACTCAGCCGGGTGGTGGGGGTGCTGCTCCTTTTTCTCGAAAGGGCTCTCTGTCCGTGTTCTACCTGACGGCACTCTTCTTCTTCGTCTTGGAAGTTGCCCCTCTCAGCGGCCATTAGCAGAGCAGGAATGCTTTTAAGGACATCAATAATGAATGTGCTACCTCTGTGTACTCTGGGCTGCTGCTGTTTTCGTGTGGCTCTGGCATCTTTTTGCCACGTTGGCTGGTGGAAAACGAGGAAAGTTGGCTGCGCTGGGTAGCTTAGGGCAGTTGCCTCCCACGCTGGGGGCTCGCAGGAAGGGCCACTCCCTATGTCTGGATCATGAAGAACAGGCAGGTAGGTAGGTGGCAAGGGAGCCCGCCGTCAGTGCCACGTTTCCTTGGGGTAACAGCAGCACCGAGGATTGGCACGTGGCACGCAGCCTAGGTGAATCTGGTGGATCACACAGATCCAGCCCCTCCAGGGGTTCAGAGCCCGCCAACTTCACAAGGTGGTTGCCGTCTTGCAAAGTGGCCTGTAAGTCAAGCAACGAGGGGTGGCATTTCTCGAGTTTTAAAAGAACAACGCTTGAGGCTGTTGTGAGTGCTAAGCTACGGGCCCGCTGTACAATCTCGTGGGGACGAGTTATCTGTGGAAGGGATGCCCCTAAGATAGCATGGGAAATGAGAAAAGGGGGAGCAGATTGTCGTTTACACTCTGGAATTTGGTCCTTTTAACATGCTTGCATACTTACCTTCCCCATTTTCTCATCCATTTTCTCTAGGAATTGAAAAGAAAAGGGCGGCGATGGAGGGGAGATCTTGCTTTTTAATAAGCCTTCCACTGATCCCTTCCTGCCTCCCCTTGTGCTGGATCCAAAACATACTATGTCCTGCAGTTGCAAAGACCTACACTCTCCATCCGTTGCATCTGTGGAAAACAGTGCCAGGGAACTCTTTTCAGGTGGTTCATAGTCTAAACAGAACCACTTTCGACATTGGGGTCTGCTAAGGACTCCAAGATTTCTTGTAACTATTTTGCAAAGCTTGTTTGCAGAGGAAGGCTTCGATCGTTTGATAAGCTGTCAAGTTTCAGCTCTCATTGATGGGAATCTGCTCAGCTGCCTTCAGAGGTTCCACCTTGACAGAGGAGTGTTCCAAGCCTAACACGAGGAGAACAAGACCAACATAAATGGCTTTCCTTAAAGAATCTTGGGAACTGTAGGTTCCGGATTGTAGCTGTGAGGGTAAACTACAGTTCCCAGGATTCCCCGGGGGAAATAATGTGATTTCAGTGTATGGTGTGCCCAGCAGCTAGCACGCCCCAAGCCACTCTGCTCTCTTTCCTGTTGTGGAACTTCTGCTGTGAGCTGAAATGGTGTCTCTTTGGAGGCAAGAGAGAGGGAGGGGCATTTGCCACATGCCAGAGACCATAGAAATGTAAGATTGCTATATGGCCTTTGCAGTAATTTTATCAAATTGTTTACTTTTTAAGCAGGATTCTAGATCACAAGGTCCATTGAAGGTTTTATTTGCTTAACTCAAATGTGAGGCCCTCCAGATGTTCTGGGCTACATCTCCGATCATTCTGGATCGCTGGCCTTGCTGGTTTGGGCTGATGGGACACCAACATCTGGAGGGCCAGCAGTTTCATCTTAACTTTTTCTCTTTTAATCTTTTTTTTTTGTAATTTTCAGTTATATACATTTCAATATTTTTACAGTCATTTAAATGTTTCAAGACTCTACTTTCTTCCTTGTCTTTCTGTGGTCCCACTGGTAATCTTCACCATCTTAAGTGTTTCTCAATGGGATATTTGCCTCCTGCTTGGACCTTCTGTTATAAAGGAATAATTACGAATAAAATTTCTTTGAAAATGGCTGCCTCTCTTTGCCTGGGTGGTATTGTGGTTGCTGTTGTTGGTTGGGATCTGAGCCTGGGTATCTTTTGCACCAAGCACTGGATTTTTTGCCCTTTCCCTTCCCTTATTTTTTTTAACTTTGCTAGGACTAGGCTTGGATGCCTTGTAAAATATATTGCTGATGAGACACACAGACACACACACACACACACACACACACACACCTTAATTTGCCCAGAGATGCCTACACATAGAAATTAATCAATGCATTTTTTTATGCAAAGGTGTGGTTTTTTTTAATTGCCCTCCTTTCAAACCTATAATTGGAGACACAGAGAGACTTCATGCAATTTGTCTTCAGGACATATGTAGCAGGGAAAACATGAATGGAACAGTATTCAACCTGCTTAAACATTTTTTTGGGGGGGTGCTATTTTAATGGAAACCTAATTCTCATTCCCCCAAAACAGGGGTCCTTTGAAATTTGTACTCTGGATTTAGGTCTCCCACAACAGTGTGTATAAAACTAGAGCCAGGGCTTTTTCAGCTGTGGCTCCGATCTGGTGGAACGCTCTGTCACAAGAGACTAGGGCCCTGCGGGACTTGACATCTTTCCGCAGGGCCTGCAAGACAGAGCTGATCCACCAGGCCTTTGGTCAGGGCACAGCCTGACTCCCTCCTTTGGCAATATTCACAGAATCTCTAGCCCAATGGTTGCCATCAATTTGATTTGAATTAATTTTATAATGATTTTAGAATGTTGTACTATTTTATTGTTAGCCGCCCTGAGCCCGGCTTCGGCTGGGGAGGGCGGGATATAAATAAAATTATTAAAAGTTATAAGTTACAGGAAATGACATACAAAAAAATGCATTTTATTACAGATTATTTGCAACAACAAAAAAAGTGTACAGTATTAGGCAACATGCCCCCTGAAATCCTGACAAATTTTTGTGAGGACTTGGAAATGGTAATTGTGAACTATTTTGCAGTGTATGTCTCCAAAAAGAGTACAGTAATGCATGACTGTATGCGATTCCCCTAATATATTGAATTGTTTTAGTGGAAATTGTGAATTTGAGGATTTGAACAAAAATTGTAAACTGATGTGGAGGATTGGGAAAATGGGAAACAGAGGAAAAACCCCCAAAAGGGGCTGATTCCTCTCCTTCCTCCTTAAACCATCATCTTCTAGCAAAAAAAGAACTGGGGGCGGAGGACAGCCCTTCCCAGAGACAACCCCTACAATGACGATATATAAGAACGTGCAGACTTGGTCCCACCAGAGAGCTGTTGTTGCACACATAGTCCTGGTCTTGCTCTGTGCGGATAGGCTGGTCTGCCTCCTTTGCCTTTAGCAACCAGAGACAAATATATCCATCTCCCTTCCTCCTGAACCATGGCAACAGATGGGGGTGACTCTTCTCCTGGCTCAGGCTGCAGCCCCGACGTCTGAGTGCCAGGGAGAAGGAGGAATGGGCACTTAGAGACAAGCTGTGCATTAATAAGTCATGCTTTCCCGGCAAATGAAAGGAGAAAAAAAATCAAGTGTGCAAGCCAGGCGGAGGCGAGTTGGAGGCTCGGAAGTCACTTCACTCAGGATCATGGGGGAGCATTGAGCCCAGGGCCAATATCTGTCTCCCAACCTGCTGCCCTTAATGTCAGAAACACCCCTTCACTTTTCCTCATGTCCTCAAGATGTTTTGGACTCTAGGCCCCATCAGGCTGGGGCAGGTGGGCGTCCTAGTTCAAAATAGCTGGAAGGCAAAGCTTGTGGCGCTGTGGGTTAAACCACAGAGCCTAGGACTTGCCGATCAGAAGGTTGGCGGTTCGAATCCCCGCAGCGGGGTGACTCGGTCCCTGCTCCTGCCAACCTAGCAGTTCAAAAGCACCTCAAAGTGCAAGTAGATAAATAGGTACCACTCTGGCAGGAAGGTAAATGGCGTTTCCATGCGCTGCTCTGGTTCGCCAGAAGCGGCTTAGTCATGCTGGCCACATGACCCGGAAGCTGTATGCCGGATCATGACTGGACCTACTGGTCAGGGGTCCCTTTACCTTTAAATCTTGTTTACCCTCTGAAAGGCTCTTGCCACCTTTGCAAGGAAGGGCTTCTCTCTGCAGAAGAGAACAGACAATGAGTCCTGTGAAAGGCACTCCCGAAAAAGCCCACCTCCCAGCAAACTTAGAAGAGAACATTTCAAATCCTACGCTTCTTTCAGCGAGCTCTTCCCGCCCCAATTTCACACTCGCAACAACAACCCTGCGAGGTAGGTCAGGCTGAGACCACTGAGCATCACGGCCGAGGGAGAGATTTTTTGGGGGGGAGGTGTCAGGGAGGTCACCCTCCTCGTGGGACGCCTCCCTCCTCCTCCGCCCTGCCTCCCTCCGCAATGCCCGCCCACCCCTTTTGCAATGCAGCACGGCTACCGCGCATGCTCCGGCCTCCCTCTCCCCGCCCAGCGCACTCCCGCGTCCAGCGCCGCGGAGCTATTTATAGCCGATGACGTCAGCTAGAAATAGAACGCCGGGGCCAGCCGCGGCTCACGCGCGTGACTGATGGGCTGACGCACGGGCACGCGCCCTCCGCAACCCCTCCCTTCCCTTGCGGTCTTCTTGGCTCCGCCCACTTTGCCCGCTTTTTTACTATAAGGGGAATGCCTCGTCAAGCGTGCGCATGCGCAGCTTTAAAAAATATATATATAATATCGCAGCAAGGAATCCAACTTGCCCTCCTTTCCCTTGAGCGGCGGCGCTTTGCTCTCTGGCGCATGCGCACAGTGTCATGCAGTGAGCGTGTGTATGTATGTAGGTGGGTGAGTCTCTGTCGGGCGCTGGCCGGTGTGTGGAGCGCGCACGCGCGAGAGCGAGGGAGTAGACGTTTGAAGCTGCGCGTGCGCGAAGCAGCCAGTCGGTCCAGTCAGTCACAGAGTGCGCGCGCTCTCTCGCCTGAGGTAAAAAAGAGGAGAAGGAGGGAGAGCCGTTGCTGCTACTGCTGCTGCTGCTTCTGAGGCGACGCCGCCGCCGCCGCCGCCGCCTCAGCCTCGCTCTGTCTTTGGCCGGCCCTGAAAGGAGCTTCGCCTCGGAAGGGCGCGCACAGCCCCAGCCCAGCGACCCCACCGCCACCTCGAGCCTCCGCCTCAGCCCCCGGACAACGACGACGATGAGCGACCGCGAGCAGCTGCTGCAGCGAGCCCGCCTGGCCGAGCAGGCGGAGCGATACGACGACATGGCTTCGGCCATGAAAGCGGTGAGTGGACCGAGCGAGGGGAGCCAAGAAGAAGAAGAAGGGGCTGCTGCTGCTGCTGCTGACCCACCGCCAGACCCACCCACGGGGAGGATGAGGATGGCGGCCGCCCCCCTGGAGGAGGAAAGGGGGTCGGCGATGGTGACCAAGACTTCTTGCTCCAAATGTATCCCCCCCTTTCTCACCTCCCTTCTCCTCAGTCCCCCTAACCTTTAAGGCGGATGCCTTGCAATACCTGTCTCTTTTAGGTTCTTGTTATTCTGAGGCTGCCCCCCCTTTTATTTCTATTAAGTGATCTTAATAGGGTATTGTGGAAGCCTTTCTGGGGGAGGAGGGTTTCTTCTTCTCTGTAGTTGGAGCTGGGAAGAGGCTGGGAGGGGGCAGTTCAGAGGGGGTGGGTGCTATCCATTGAATCAGCTGCTGTGGCCCCTTTCTCTCAGGCCTGGTCTAGGTGTCCCCCACCCTCTCTCAGCCCTCCCTCTGAAAGTAGAAGTTGGGGTGTGGGTGGGGATCCTCTGTAAAAGAATGAACTGGTTCTATCAGTGAACAGATCTCTCCTCTCAGCCTCCCTTCTAAGGCATGCTGCCTGTTAGTCTCCATCCTATGAGAATGAGCTGGGAAAGGGGAAGGGTCTTTTAGCCCCTTTTAGTCTTCTCACCACACCACACACGTATGTTGTGACTAGGCAGGACAGGAGTGTGTGTGGGTTTCTTGAGGTGGGGTTAGTCAGATTATTTTATCATTTCCCTCCCTGTCTGCTTATCAGCTGACATGGGCATTGTCAACGATGGAGTGGGTGTATGTAGTGCACTAAGGGAGTGCCCTTTAACAGCTTGGTGTGTCTGTGTGTGCCAGAAGCTGAGGACAAGCCCTAAGCCATGCGGCAAGGTGGAGCAATGGGGATGTGGGCACTGTTGGAGTGGGATGGAGACTGATTTGAGCCATGGGGCAGATCTGGCTGGGAAGCTCTTCTCTGTAAGGTTTGTCAAAGGGTTCTATTTCATGTGGTCTTTGTTGGAGAGCTTCCTAACAGTTTGTCCCTCATGCTAATGAGGCTCTGCTTCTAAAACATCTTGAAACAGCTTTTTGGCCATACCGCTATCCATCTCCCTTATTTCCAGCAGCCCCCTTTTGCATTTATATGGTACTTGCCTCAATAACCTTCCAAATGACTGGTTCAGAATTATTATTTTTGCCTTTTGTTGTTGTCATTTCAATATCCAGCAGCATAAAAAGGATTAAAATCTAATTAAATTTTGATAGTAGTCTATAGCATAACATGATTCTTATACAAGTCTGTTTTTCTTATTGCCACTGGACAGACAGCTTTTTATTTGGCCCACCAAAAAATATACCAGATTGCATGTAAATGCAGGGCATGTCAGTTTCCTTCTCTGTAATCCAGATGGTCAGGATTCATCCTCACTCTGCTATCTTGCATCTGCTTGACTTTATTACTCTAGTGAGCATCAAATCCAAGGGACCAAAATCAATTTGTCAATTCTTGGAGTTCATGCATTGGCATTATGGGTTTTCCATGAAAATATTCTGACTGAATAGTATTTATGACTACCCAGTTTCCCCATTTTTGCTTGCAGGGGGATTTTGCACACTCACCCCCTCCTCCATACTTCCTGTCTGTTAACACTCTTGATTCTACCTCAGATTCTTTCCTCTGCACAACCTTGGAGATAGTCGCAGTGCTGGATGATTATGTTTCTGCCCATCTGTCTTGTCGCATGCTGACTCTGAGCCTGAGCTACTGTAGCACAAG